ATTCATTATAGAAAAGACCCTTTAGAAACAGTAAATAATCATAAAATTACCACTGTTATGAAATACAACGCTTGTACCATCTAATAAAAGTACTTTCTCCAATCCCTTTCAAATAATGAACTCAGAACTATAAGTAAACAAAGAAACTGAATAGAGTAATTCAGTAATAAAAATACATGCTTAGTTATACAAATATTGATTTTGAGAAAAACAACTATGATCTAAAAATAGCTAACCATCTCAGTTGTTCAGAATGTTTTACCAATGCCTTTTCAAGCCATTTGGCTGCAATTGGTAGCCACAGGAGACCTGTTTTAAGTGATAGTATCTTACATAATACCTCTGAGATACTGACTCCTAGGATTATCCTGCTCTTGTTATAAGACAAATTCTGAAAACCCTTAGTTGTATAGACACATAGCAGATGGTACTTGATAGGCCAAAGTGAGCCCTCAGTTGTTACTGGAAACATAACAGTGATGGGGCAATGATACAACCATATAAATTTTAATACCATGAGATCCATGTGGGAAGATTTCTAACTCAAGAGTTATGTACTACATTTAATTCACAAAGAAATCGCAGAGTCAGGAAGCTCAGGAAATAGAATTTTTGGCCTATGTTGCATTTAAGAAGAAATACAGAACTGTGAAAACAAAAGTAAAAGATTTGGGTACTGCCTCCTCTCTTTCAACTTCCCCACATGCCCCACTACTGCATCTTATTCACAAGCTAAGCCTGATTCCACATTCTCTTCCTCACACCTCAAATGCCTCTTCCCTCTCCCCACAGTGCCTCCCTGCCAGCCCTAGCACAGTGAGTTTCACCCTTGGTGGCACAATCAAATCATCTGTGGAGCTTCCAGCACTACAGAAGCCTAGGTTCCACCCTGAAAAAATTCCGATTTAATTAGTCTGAGTTCTGGTCTGGATATCAGGATTTTTTAAAAACTCCCCAGGTGATCCTGGAGCGCCTGGGTGGCTCAGTCGGTTAGGTGTCCAACTCTTGGTTTCAGCTCAGGTCATGATCTCATGGGTCATGGGATTGAGCCCCATGTTGGTCTCCATGCTCAGTGCAGAGTCTGCTTGAGAATCTCTCTCCTTCTCCCTACCCCTTGCTTTTGCATGTGCTTGCATACACATGCACACACGGTCTCTCTCTCTCCCTCTCTCTCAAATAAATAAGGGGCACCTGGATGGCTCAGTCAGTTAAGCATCTGACTTCAGTTCAGGTCATGATCTCAGGGTCCTGGGATCGAACCTGGGATGGAGCCCACATAGAACTTCCTACTCAGCAGGGAGTCTGTCCCTCTCTCTCTCTCTCCCTCTGGTCCTTCCCCCAACCCCCATGCGTTCTTGTGCACACTCTCGAGCATGCTCTCTCTCTCTCTCAAATAAATAAATAAAATCTTTTTAAATTTATTTTTTAAATTTTTTTAAAAAATAAAATCTTAAAAAAAAAAAGCAACTCCCCAAAACTCCCCTAATGTACAGCTAGGATGGAAACCACTGTCCCTGCATACTTTTGGTAAGGAAGTGCCAGGCAAAATAAAACAAGATGAGACAATCAAAACCAAAACGAGGGCTCAATTCCATATGCCAGACAAGCAGTGCGATCTACGAATATGATTCCTGAAGCCAAGCACCACCATCGGTTTCTCACTCGCCCCCTTCCTGACCCTGACCAGCACCTTTCTGTCCATCCCTTTCCACCCAGTCCTCCTGCTGTCAAGCTAGCCCACTCCCCTTCATTTTGCACCTGTCCCAGTGTAGAAGCCCCTAATCAGTCTCCCTGCCTCCTCTGCTGGCTCCATCTGATCCACCCTGCACACCACTACCAGATTGATCTGGCTGTCATTTTCCTCGAAACCTCCAACGGCCTCTTCCGGCTCACTATGTCTAAACTCCTTAACTTGGTGGAAAAGGCCTTGCCTAGTCTTTCCAGCTCTCATTTCTCACTACTGTCTGAAAAGGTGCCTCACTCTGTTCTGATCAACCTGCATGGTCTCTAATTCCCCAAACATACTCTATTTAAAACTTCAAAATTCAGGGGACGTTGGAAATAGAAGCCCAGCGTTTTGCCCCAGATCACTCAGCTAGTGAGCAGTAGAATGTGGATTTCATTCCAGATCAGGGCTGTGTTCAAAGCTGTTAAACACCACCCTATTCTCTCTCTCTGGAACGTCACCTTCCATATCTACCTGTGGAAATTTTACCTATCTTTGAAGGCTATTCGTTCCTAAAACTTTCCTTGTTATTCTTGTCTGATGTGATTTTTCTCTCTTCTGACTTCCTTTAACACTTTGTTTGCATATTTCACAAAATATCATGACAACAGAGTCCCATGACAACCTTCTTGAGGTCCAACATACAGTGTTATGGCCTCATCAGTCCTTTACAGCACCTAACAGAACCATCCACGCTGTTGGCACACAGCAAAGTTCTGGTGAAGAATGAGATGCCATGGGAAGCTTTCTGCACTCACCCAACCCAGCCACAGTGAGAGGTCCTTATTAATTTCAGGCACAGAGGTATCCTTTCCCTACCCTGGGTATCCTGCCATCCTCCTCTTCAAGTGCATCAATTCTTCCTTGTTCTGTGTCATAAGCCCTCTGCCAACTGCCTATAAAACATTTTGCAGCCTGGGAAGGGCTCTGTTGCTTGGCAACCACTGTAAGATTTAGAAAGATGCATATGATGATAAGTAGGAATCATAAAAGAAACAAGGGTAGTTTCATTCTTTGGAACCTGAAATGGAACCTGGACAGTAAGGTTTAGGTCAAATTCCCATTTTGGGCCTTCTTACCCATTGTCTTTGTTTTATGTTGAAAGGAATAGGAGTGGGGCACCAAGTGGGGTATGAGCAAATGCCAGGAAGAGGAAAGGGTAATAACTGGTCAGACAGCTATTCTTGTCTCAAGAACAAAAGCATTCTAGGAAAGGGGAAAACTCCCTATTTACGAGAAATTATGTAAGGAACATAGGGCAGAAAAAAGACACCAGGCCAAAACATTAGTTTCTGATTTTGTCTTTTCTCTTCTACATCTGGGAGATAAGGGTTCTACCCTTCAATGTTTCTCTCTACACTGGCACTGCCATCTACAGATGGCACTCGGTGTATGCTTCTCCATGTGACTCAGAAAATGCTCACGTACAAGATGAAAACCACCCATTTTGTTTAGCATATGATTGCATCTGGGGATTCAGGAAATTTAGATGGTGAGTTTAAAACAAACATAATGAGAATGGGGGGGCCACGTCCACCTGTTGCCCACCTCCCTGCTTACCCCCTTTCTTTGCTGCTCCCCATGGAAGGAGTAGTTCCTAAACTGATGGGTCACTGTTTTAGAATGCAATCGAACCAAAGAGGGGGACCAAGTTCAACTCCCTATAAACCAGGGAGGTAAAGGCAGGAAGACTGGGGTTCCCCTCTCTTCTGTCAGCAGCCTCCTTCTCACTCTATAATAAATATTCATTGATTGAAATGAATTGTATCAGAACTGGAAGTTCCATCAACAATACTTCTTGAGAACCTACTATGTGCTGGGCACTGTGCTAGGGCTAGAGATAAAAGAGAAAACAAAACAAAACCAAAGCATTGGCCCCTACTTGAGTTGTTCAGTCTAATGGGAAATGCAGAAATAATTTCCATATACTATGGTGTTATATAAGAGGTAAGATCAGGAGTCTATGGAAATTAAGAGTCTATGAGAGCAGAACTGAAGTCAGGGAAGGAGCCCTTGAAGAAATGAGATCAGATGAACGTGTAGAAGTTAGCCAGATCAAGAAGGGTGGGAAAGGTGCTCAGCAGAGAACCACTTGAGCTCAGCCCAGAGACATACAGCATCCTTCCTCCAAATTAATAAAACCCCAAATCCTCACGTGTCTGTGTAATACATGCCATATTCAGGGATCAAAGGAAGAAAGGAAGGGAACTGGTGAAATACAATTTAAGCACTAAACTTTGAAGAAGTGCATTAAATAGAAATCCATAGCCTTCCCTGAAAAAAGAAGAAAGGTAACAAGCAAACACAAAACCAAAAAAACTTTTAGAGTGAGTTTGGTTAAAGCAAACAACTCAACTGCCTGATCTCCACAGGTGGGATGAAACACCAGGTGGCCTTTCAATCACAAAGCTGGTGTTAACCTCGAAATTACATGAGGCAGACAGAAGGCAAGCTAAAGAGCACACACATGGCCTAACCTCACAGCAGTTAAGTAAGAGAGGATGTCATAAGCACTATAACCCCATGGAGGGCAGGGCCTTTCCTGGCTGGAGAGTGGACATGGCACTAAGAGTTGGTTCTGGACCCCACTCCCAGTTCGATCTCTGTCTGTGAAATGGTTGTCACCAATATGAACTCTGTCCCACATTCCGCACCTTGGATGCCTGGGTATTCACTGACTTCACTGGATAAACGTATGAGGCCTGGGTTAGAGGGGGTGGAAACAGCAGATGCCAAAAACATCTTTGTCAAGGTCTTAGCTATAAGCACAGTTTTTATTCCCGGACTTTGTTTCCTAGCTCTCTGCCTCTCTTACCTGTCCATCTGAATAGGACAGGTATAAACTCTGCCCCTAAATTCCTTATTTGGGGGAGATAACTAAATTAACTCCTAAAATGGTTTGACCTCCTTGAACAATGGCCATGTGTCCCAGATGACAGGCCCCAGGAAGCCAGACTCATCTTAATCCAGAGCAATGAACCTGAAGGCACAAAGTCAGCATTAGCTATTCAGTCAATGTTTCATTCACTCAACAATGTTTATTGGGTACCCCCCTATGTGCACACCAGAGTTAAAATGGACACTCATTTATCATTGTTTTCTAGACTCTCCCCCAACCCTTGTCTGTGATGGATAAATAAGAGAAATTGGCCAAGCTACATACTAGTGTGGGCCGTGCTCACAGAAGATTCCATCTCAGCCCAGCCCTGCCACATGGGAAATTCAGAATAAAGCCAGCGACTGGGAAGGCAGCAAACCGCTATGTTCAGCTCACCTGGGGATGCTAGTCAGGTAGGTCATGACATTCAGGAAGTCTTCCTCTGGGAGGTGTTTGAACCCCGCAAACTCTGGAAAAGTGATGATGGGTGCACCATCTTTCCCTCGGCCTCCTGCAACAAAAACGGGGGGTTAAGATGTTAACAAAATGTTTTGGTGTCACATCCTGTAGGTAAGGGGCTTTGACTAATATCAAGTTGGGAGATAGATACTGGCCTCCCCCTTTTCTCTCTGTATTATTTCAGACTAGAATGTGGGAAGGTTGACATGGAACTATTTTGAACAAGTCTCTTCTTCATGCTTGCTCAATTGATGTTGTGAGAATTTACCTCTTAAATCCTTTGAAGATAGTTACTGTATAAAAGGTAGTATTAATTTAATTACTTTAGCATAGGTGGAACAGTAAATAATGCCAACACGAATATATAATATTGTTCTTCATTTTTGTAGTCAGTAAATATCAAAGGTAAAAGAGTATGGTGGTTAAGAGAGTTCATTCTAAAATCAAGCAGCCCAAGATGCATGGCTGGGAGGCTCAGTTGGTTGAGCATCTGCCTTTGGCTCAGGTCATGATCCTGGAGTCCTGGGATCGGGCTCCCTGATCAGCAGGGAGTCTGCTTCCCCTCTCCCTCTGCCACTCACCCAGGCTCCCCCAGCTCATGCGCTCTCTCTCTCAAATAAATAAATAAATAAATAAATAAATAAATAAATTTTTAAAAATAAAATCAGACAGCCTGGTTCAAATCCTGCTTTGCCACTTGATTTCTATGTGGTTTTATGCAAGATACTTAATCTAAATAGGAGTTTCCATTATATATATATATAATGGGATAATACTTGTATGTACCTCAAAAGGTATTGTGAGGATTAAGTGAGACCATATATGAAAAGTGCCTTAGTAGAGCACTTATTACATATAAGTGCTCAATAAATAATGACCATTATTATGGTTGTAATTATTACAAGGAGGAAATAATCATCTGCCCTTCAATAATTTACCAACAGGGATATAAGACAGCACTATGAAAACAGAAATGTAAAATTAATATTTAAATATTTAATCTATCGGAGCAGAGGTCACTAGATTAAATTAAATAGATTCCATTTCTTCATCTCCTTGCAGCTAGATGCAGCTATATGACTGAGTTCTAGCCCTGTGGTTCCCAAACTGTGTCCCAGGTACCCAGAGAACCATGGTGAACTCGCAAAAGCACCATGAATATTTTAAATTTTTGAGGGAAACAGCAAGAGTTGGCCTCTATAGGACACCATGTATGCTACTAGCTTGAGGTAGTTCACAATTCCAACATTAAATTGCACTATATTCTTGGGGTGCCTGGGTGGCTCAGTCGGTTAAGCATCTGCCTTCAGCTCAGGTCATGATCCCAGGGTCCTGGAATCAAGCCCCGCATTGGGCTCCCTGCTCGGCGGGAAGCCTGCTTCTCCTTCTCTCACTCCCCCTGCTTGTGTTCCCTCTCTCACTGTGTCTCTCTCTGTCAAATAAATAAATAAAATATTTTAAAAAAATAAAAATAAAATAAAATAAAATAAATTGCACTATATTCTTTTGAAAGGCATTGCATCGTTGTGAAGTTGGGATTTTGGTGGCTGCTCAGATAAAGAGCAAGTGTAGTATGAAAAGGAATGTAGAACAGGAAATGAGGGTGGTGATGTTCAGTCTCATTCCAGGGTTTGAGATTATTGTAGTTACCTAAGAATGCAATTTAAACATTACTTTTTCTTTCAATTTATATGTTTTGTTTTGTTTTTTTCCGAACAGCTACTAAGTTCTAAGGATATACAGACTTACTAAGTTGTTTTAACTATTAGGTATTGCTTTTGGCCAAGAAGGTCTGTAGAAATACTAAGATAGACTGAGAGATCGATCTGAAACTGAAAAACTAAAGCGCCAGGAACTGAGAAAGCTAGGGGACCTATGCCCTAGCCAATGGGTTAAGAGCTGAACTGCTGGGAGCATCTTCCAGGTCTGCCCATGGAGGAAAACTAGGAAAACTACTTTAAGAAAAATAAAGGCTCCCAAGTGAAGCCAACTACAAATGACTGCATCCATTACACATCTAATGAAAGAGGTAGGGCAGGGTGTGGTTTAATGAGAATTGTGTGATTAATGAGGGTGTGGGATCAATGAAGAAATTACAGAAAAGGGAGACTCAGAGAAGCAAAGGCAGGCCATGTACTGTCAATGCTTTCCTAGGAGAAAGGGGCCTGGCCCAGCACCACAGGCTATCTGATGACACCACGATTAAGATCATCCAATACGCTCCACTGCTCTGAGTCCACACCTGATAAGCATCTTCTGCTTATATTCTGACTTTCCATGTAAATTTGTTTCCAGGGCAAAAATGTGCTGTCAGGCAAACATGAGTATTTGTATCATGTAAAGAGTAAGACAGCCTTGTGGTTTTCTACACCAGTCTCTTCTAGGTACTGTTAATGTGGGGTTAGGCTCTCAGAGACAAATCACTGTGCAGTGAAACTGTGTGATACTTGTCTGGTTGTCATTCTTCTCCAGGAAGTATCTCTTTATTAATTCTACATGTTTATTTTAAATTTTAAAGAAAGTTACCTGCAGATTAGATGCTTGTCAAACTTTGACATGGCGATTAAGCTGCCTCAATAATTTGACTGAAAACAACTTAAATCAGGGATACTATCAGCTTTCACCTCATATTCTTCCCCTTTGCAGTTTTACAGCCATAGGAAGTCTTAGATAAATGCAAATTAAGAGAATTTACATCTCTAGTAAGGCTAAAATTAGATGCATTATAACACTGTACTAATTGCATAACCAATATTTGCCAAGAAAATGGATAAAACATTTCAAGGACTCAAAACACCCTAAAATATTCATTAAGATAGGATTATACTACTTAATGATTTTGCCTTTCATTGTTAATTATAAATTAAAGCTCTTCACACCTAAGTAGAGAAACACAGGTGGAGTCTTCTTATATCTTGGTTAATACCAATACTGAAAACCACCCGCTGTTGAACATTAACGGTAAGGGACAGAAGCCCCAAGGAGACAAAGCTAAGCCTCGATACAGGCATTGACAACCCACAGCATTCGGTGCCACCTTGTGAGAATACATGGAAATGCAAAAGAATGAAAGTGTACCAAAGAAGTAGTCCTATTCAAGGAAAATAAAGAAAGCCAAAGTTAAGTAAAATGGTGACTTAAATAAATGTCATTATTCATGGTATAATTTTTACCTGTTCATTAAATGGAAGAGGACTAGGTTTACTGCAGAAAATAGTAAGTTCTTGGGATACATAAGACTATTCCCATGAGGGTCTGGGTGTTGGCTGGCACTTACTTCTATCCTATAGAGGAGAATTTAGAACACTAGGAAATCCTACAGGAAGATGGTGAAGACCAACAATGAAAGAGAGAGTGAGTCAGTTAACTGCTATTTGCCTTCCAAAATCCATTTTCCTTTTCTCTCCCTACAAAAAACTGATTTTAGCTAGGAAAATGATAATGCCACTTCTTAGGAGGCACTTTAGAAATCTCAGGGCCTGGGAAACCAAATAATCTATCCTAGATAATAAAGAATTGTCCCACATCCTGTGTGATTTCTGAATACCTTAATAGAAACTCAATATAAGTGAAAAATCCATTTATAGTGACCAGATCCTATAAATTCTGTTTCATACATAATAATAAAGGGTTTTTAAATATTTTCCATCTTATTGAGATATAATTGACATATAATATGGTATTAGTTTAAGGTATATATATATAATGATTCAATATATGTATATATTGTAAAATGATCGCCACAAAAAGCTTAATTAACATCCATCACCTCAAAAATCACCTTACAAACTCTTCAGATCTAATCTCTTAGCAATTTTCAAATACACAATACAGTACTGTTAACTACAGTCACCACGCTGTGCATTGCATCCCCAGAATGTATTTATCTTGTAACTGGAAGTTTGTACTTTTGACCACTTTCCTCCATTTCCCCCACCCCCACCCTACCTCTGGCAACCACCAATCTTTATCTCTGTTTCTATGAGTGCAGTTTTTTTTTAGATTCCACATACAAGTAAAATGGTAAAGTATTTGCCTTTCCTTGTCTGACTTATTTCACTTAGCATAACACCCTCAAGGTCCACCCATGGTGTCACAAGTCAGAAATTATTTTTAAATGGTTTAACTATATACTGAATTTTTCAGGAATGCAACTACCCTATAAATTGAAGGAAGATAATACTTTACTTTGTTCAGAATTTATCAACTTTGTTTAAAACTGTATCAACAATTGTTTATTCTTTCAGAAAATCACTACAGTAAGGCCACTCAGGGGGTCTGATCACCCACACCACACCCCAGCATCTGCAGCTATCACATTCATGGTGACTCCGAGTACCTGATGACTTTATTTTTTTTCTAGTATAGCTAGAAATGCATATTGAAATACATATTATTTTACTACTCTTACTTTCCCTTTATTTCTCCTTTACTACTCTCCTTTACATTTTATTTCTTTTTTTCAGTATATGCATAAATAAGGGGTAGCTATTCACACTCCGTGAGCACACAACTAAACTATATTTGCTAGCTTCCCATGATATTAAATGTATCCATCTAACTGATCCAAGTTCCAGTCAATGGTATGTGGTATGTGCTGTTGCTGAGCTGCTTTTAAGAAGCAGTATGCTTGGGGCACCTGGGTGGCTCAGTCGGTTAAGCATCTGCCTTCGGCTCAGGTCATGATCCCAGGGTCCTGGGATCGAGCCCCACATTGGGCTCCCTGCTCGGCGGGAAGCCTGCTTCTCCCTCTCCCACTCCCCCTGCTTGTATTCCTGCTCTCATTATCTCTCTCTCTCTCTCTCTGTCAAATAAATAAATAAAATCTTAAAAAAAAAAAAAAAGAAGAAGAAGAAGGAGTATGCTCTCTTTTCCCTGTTTTCTGGATACAGATAATAATATGGCCACAAAATGAATAGTAACATGAGCCATAAAGTGGAAGGAACATTCATGTGTAATGAAGATGGAGAAAAGTCATCTGCTGACCATGAACATACATGCTGGACTGCTCCAAGAGAAATAACTAAATCTCTGTTTTGTTTGTTTGAACTA